GTAAAATAATTCATGTAATTTCATGGTACAATTATAGTCTTGGAGTCTTTACTTATTGCTTGCTGTGTTGATGCTGCAACAGCCAAACTTTATTTGCCAACCCACCTTCTTCCTACAGTAGCTTGGGAAAGAGATCTGTATACTAGTGCTGAATTTCTTTCTATCAGCATCCTTTCAAAAAAGATCTGGAAAGGAAGGGGAGCAGTAATAAAAGGCAGAAGTAGTATAGCTTCTAATTCATCAATAAAAAACACAGAAAACATTTTTTACTGCCATTCCCTCCTGCAAACATATTTTGTAGAGCAGGAGCTGAAATTATTACCGAACTAAAATGACTATCCCAACCAATATACTAACCAGAAATAAGATCAAATCACCCACATAAAATTAATGATCTGTAGTAGTAGCAGATGATGACATAATAATTCCAATGGTGCTTATGAGAGTGAAATTAACTTTTTAACAATGTCAGGATTATGTACCTATAACTATTAAACTACTGGCAATATATATCTTTAGGACTGGAATTCAATGTTAACTTGATGAAATATAAGTATTTCACAAGTATTTGGATATATTTTTGAAAGATAATATAGAACAGTATTAAACTTGAAAATTATACAAAATATGATACAATCCTATCAGCAGCCTTTCAGGCAAAAACCTCAAGGGATACTGCAGAATTCAGAGCTGGATGGAATAACACAGGTTTACATGGGATGGAAAGTATCCCCCTTCAGAATTAGAATCACATCAGACAAATGACATCTTGAATCTCCAAGCTCAGTTACTGTCATCTAAGGAAAACATCTTCATGTTTTTAATCAAGCTGCAAATATTTCAAAGCTATCTGAAAACTCAGGAAACTATAAGGAAATGCATGAGATATTAATATGAACAATTAGTTACTAAGGCAACAGTGACAAATATAACTGTGCTGCTTTTATTTCACTATTCTCACCATTTTCTTCTATTATTATTTTCAAATTATTCATGAATAATAAACCTGTTCTATAATTAAAAAGATGTAGGAAAGCTGGCCACCAGCTTTCATAACCTTACTGATCCTTGAAACTGTCAAATAGTTACAAAATTTATCCTAGCTTGTTTTATGGGTTAACTATAAGAAGGGACAATAGGATTTTAAAAAAAATCTTAGGCTGACTTCTTAAAATAAGCCTGGGAAGATCTAACACAAGAGTAGTAGACTCTGTATTTAAATATATAAACTCTGCTTGTGAGGACAAGCAAAGGTGGCCGGCTTGCTGGGTGGCTCTTCCTTACCATTCTTCCCCTTTTTTTCCCCTCACCATTCTTATTATCCTCTACATATGGAGGGCAACTGTCAGAAAAAGGCAGCCTCCTCTAATACAGAACTGGCTCTGATGTTAATGATACTTTGAGTCCCCATTCCAACCTCTGAGCTTCTTGTGCTATAGCTATTTTAGATGTAACACTAACTTAACATCAGCATACAAGTCTTGAGCCTTCTTACACAGCTGTGAAAAGAGGAGAAACTTTCACCTCTTCTTTTAACTATTTAGGAGCATCCCCTTAGGTCCAGAAAACAGTAGTTGTTTCATACATTCCTAATCTCTTACTCTATGACGTAATCAGTTTTCAGATTTACATTTTTAATGCAAATTAAGCATTTCCTATTTACAATGTTGTCATTTTAAGTAATTATGTTTTAATATGTTTGCTGTTCTTGGAAGTCACTACAGAATTCTACCTCTTCTAACAGATGACTTTCTACCAAAAAAAAAAAAAAGGATCCACCAAAATATATCTATTTAAACAGTATAATGGCAACACATGATCTACATGTTCATTATTTAATATTGAACAATCTGGATACCATACTTATATAAAACAGAGTTTAGCAAAGACACATTTTTTCCTCACAGGCACTAATATAAAATACATTTGCCTTTTCTAATTCATTTACTTATCCTGGCCAGAAAAAAGAAGCACTTATTGCATTCAGTTAAGATAATTAATTACATCAGCACTGATGAGGCTTTTAATAGCTAGTTTACTGTATTAGACCATTTTCTAGCTAACGTCTGTTTTAGAACTATGTTTTAGATCCATTTGTTAAAACAATAATGCAAACATTAATAATAAATTGTCCATAGGATACATATAAGACTTCTAAAAAAAATACACAAAAGCACACATTCAAAGAAAAAAATGTACATGGTACTGTTTTTACAGAATGTGATTGTTTCAACTTTAGAGCTGTATAAGAAAATACATTATTATGCATTTCTTTTAATCCAAGCTAAATTTGTCTTAAGAGACTTGCATTTCTAAAAAATAGTCCAAAATAGGTTCTTAGACTTTTTGTTTTCTTTCCCTCCAAGTCAGGGGCATCTGTGGGGTGTGTATCAAAAGATCACTGGGATAGTACGACTGAAGCCCTGTTTCTCTGTACATGTTTGTGACACTGACACACACATACAAGAGGCAGGGCTTCAACTGCACTACCCTAATCCCCATTTTTTGTCAATTTTCACTCCTACCCCCACCCTACAGATGGCACTACCTCTGTTTTTTCTTTCTAGTCTCTGTAAGATTAAAATCATGATTATATCAATGCAGACAGTGGGCTCTCAAATTATCGTTTAATTGCTGATTGAGAAATATTTGTAAAGATTCTAATTGTCACTACCACATTTCAGAGTCTCATATTCTATCTTTTCCATATTAGAACAGCTAAACTTTTTAGTACACACCAGGGCCAACTGGAGTGGATCTGTGAACAGAGTCTCCTGCTGATTGCCATCAGGACAAATTGCATAAATATAAATAAATAAAGCCTAACAGATTTATTGTGCTAAAAAAAAAAAAAGAGTAAATATTACTACCTCAGAACATGGTATACTTTACTGGAAATTCCCTCCTTTTATTCTGTCAAGATTTTTTAAAGTTTTACATAATTATATAAACAGAACGACTTTTACTGGAAAGATTCGTTCAACGGCATAGTTAGAAGGTATATATTGTAACAAGCCTCATCCTGCACAGTTAGATCCTTGAGATCCAATCACTTATTTTTTACATTGTTCAGTGGAACATGGGAGGTTGTATATTGGAAAATCTCAACAGAAGACTACAAAGGAGAAAGGGCTATACTGGTTGAGTGTTTAAAATAAATACCTTACAATAAAAACGTTTTTAACTTGCTATCATTATGATCAGAGGAGTTTGCTGATGGGAAATACAATACTCCGCAGGAAGGAGGTCTTAAACATTTAAGTTTATGTATATTCTGGCAATTTTAAGTTTGTGCAAGATTTTCTGTGTAGTTTACAGTTATTTAATTTATGTGAGGGTTTATTGTACCTGACCTAATTGTAATGGATTTTTTTTTTTTTTTTTTGGCTTGCATTTTGCTGAACTTGAAGTGACTACTGGCAAACAAAAACTATCTCCTCCCTTTCTCTATAATGAGACTGATACAAATTAATAACTATATTGCTTTAGAACGATCCTGGATATTAGTTTCCTTTTCCAGTGTAGAAATTAAATTGCAATTCCATTTCGAAAAAAACATTCACAATTAAATATTTTTGATTGCATTTACTGATAAAAACCATATTAACCAGATCTCATTAGGGAAAAAATCAACAAAAGAGAAAGGGCAGAATTCTTACTCACAAAAAGCTATCCATTATTCATATTTTTTATGAACTGCATAAAACTGTATGTCATCAATTGTTTTAAAAAATATATTTTTAAAGAAGTACAAAATATATGCTCCACTGTCCTCTATTCATCAGCAAGTGTCAGGCCATTAACAATTGCTAACAATGTACACAGCATCTAAATTCATGTACTTTTGAAGAAGAAAAGTAGAAGAATTACTGATATTTTTCAAAAGGAGGTTCATTAATAAAAAAACTAACAAGTATTTTATATATGTGAGTAAATATTGCTATACATAAAATAACAGTTTTATTAACAACTATCCTTTCTGCACCAAAGTAGAAATCTTGTGAATGGCGTGAACTTTCATACAAGTAAGACTGACAACACAAATAAATTACTTATTTAAAAAACAGCATAAAGTCGATTAATTTCTCTCTGACTATCTTTAAGACTTAAAGTCACTGACAGTTGTGACAACACTGAATGTTCACAAATATCCTAATTTCCTAAGGAAAGGTTAGATGCATTAATTTCTTCAATGGGGGAAAGAAAGAGTCAGCTAGGTCATAGAGAAATAAATAATACTGCAATGTGCAATTGAAAAAATGCACTGCAAATTTTATTTATTTGTAAACTGTATTTTCTAGTTCAGAGCAGCAAGTTAAACACTGGATTGTATCCAATTGCGTCCCCCAATATTACAAGGCTCTTTGACTCAGCAAAGGCTGAGTGGAAACTTTTTTTAAAAATCTGACAATTTATTCTGCAGTACATCTATGACCTTCCATACTGTTCCAGAAGTCCTGCAATAATTGGGGATAAAGTAGGATAAGTGCAAGAGAGGTTCATCTCTTTCTCCTATTTTCTGCACATCTAATATTTCTAAGGACTCTCTAATGTTTCATTCAAAAATTGCTTCGTACTAGTCCAAGTTTTAAAATCTCTGGATTGAAAAAGGCTTTCCCCCAGTGTAGGAAGGAATGACTTCAAACACACATACAGAGGAACTGTATTTTAGAGAATATGGGGATAAAGTATTACGCTTAGTTCCAAATGCATGAGATTATCAGTTTAGAGACAGGAAACCAAAGAGAAAGACCAGGCTACTTCTATTTGTAAGATTTTAGTAATATTCTTTCATAGTAATATTCCATATGAGTACATGCTATTGCTGTATGTTTAACACAGTGCATAATATTCACATAATTCCCAACCATGTTCACATAATTCCCAACCACAAGGAAGAAGATGGAAATATATACTTGTATCATGTAGAAATAATAAATCAAGAATATCCACACAGCATGCAACAACATTAGGAAAGCAAACTGTACATAAGAACTTACAAAATCAAAGTCACCATCTTGGGGAACTTTCCAGTTATCAGGGAAAACATTCTTCGATATGTGGTAAGATTCATGTATATTCTGATTGCAGTTTTCATGACCCTTATTCTTGGAATCCTGTTTATCAAAGTAGTCCATAAATGAAGGTCGCTGAGCCTGTGGTGATGTAGCATTTCCTGATTTGAAAATAAGAAAAAAGTAGTTAAAATACAAAGAGAAACCATTCAAAAAACTCAAAGTGAATTATGCTGGCACAAAAGTTATCATTAACTAATTTTAAAAATATTAATGCTTTTTACTAGAAATTAAGATAACATGATACGGTGACAGTACAGCCAGGCAGAAGACAACTAGAATGACAGAACCATACAAAATGATTTTATAATTAAGACAGTATGCAAATAAGTGGTCTATAACCAATTGATAACCAACGTATACACTGAAATTAGACTGGAATGTAATCCCTTTATATTCAGCAAGTGACACCACTTGGCTGACCTTGTGTGAACAGTAAGTTAAACAAGGCCAGGCCTAGTTAATACTGGGATGGGAGAGCTCCAGGGAATTCCAAGAGCAAGAGAGAAGCAAGGAAGAGAGAGAGAGATTAGACTGCAGAATATAACAAAGAAATCAAAATACTTTCGTATTTTGGCAAAGAAAATTAGAAGAACTTATTCATGAAATCACCAAATCTTAACTCAGCTTGAAGACTTCACTTATGGATAACGGTAAATAAGGTTTTCACGAAAAGTTATCTTGTTTCATATAATTCACAGTTTTAAAAATTAATTAAGTAATTACCCAAAGGAAAATAATATCTTATCTGGCTATTCAAGACCCAAGTAAAGTTTCTTAAAATCATCCAATTGTACATCAAAGTAGTGAAGACAAAAGAGAGATTCTAAATACAATTTTGTTTTATGGGGAAAAATAATTCTTTGTTCTTGTAGAAAGTGTAGATGCATATTACTTGTCAATTTTTCAAGCTATTAGTGATGATTAAAAACAAATTTGCTAAGAATACCCTATAGGAAGAGAAAGTAATGCCTAGCTTCTTGAAATTCCTTTTTTTTAAAAACCCTGCAATAATACACAAGAGAAATGCACTGAAATCACTTAGTTAGATGTTCATAAAATGTATAAGTTTCACATTAAAGCATAATGCTTGACTTTTGGAATGTCACAATCATTTCCAGAATTGGCTCATTACTACTTAGGCTGAATTTGGGAGGAAGATATATTAACAGAATTCATTCCCAGCTCAAAAGCCCCCTTCAAGGACTTATATTTTGAAAGAAATAGATCAGAAGTTATAATCCTAATACTACAATAGTAGCAAGAGACATATTAAGAATCCCTGCCTTTAAACTAAAATTATAGGTATTAGAGTAAAACAAACAAACCTCTATTAATAAATGTATTAAAGGGGGATTACAGTAGTATAATGGTATAACAACTGCTTTGCATGCCACAGATACTGTTATACTCTCTGAGATTTTAATTTAAAGAGCAGATTTGAGAAAGATCTCTGCTTGCAACTTACCCAGATATAGCATACTGCAGTGGGCTGGATGGACAATTGGTCAAACTTAGCATTAAGTTTATACATGCATTCATGAATTGAAAGAGAAAACAGCAATTTCTATGGAGCATTCACATTGCGATCAGCCAAGGAAAAGGCACATCCAAGATAAATGATGAAAAGCACAAGAGTTAAGAATTTTCGTCACTAGAAATTAAAGAAATACCCTAGGCTTCAGACTCCACAAGAGTACAGGAAGAGTTATGATAATAAAAAAAAATGAAGTGGATCAGAAAACATGGGTATATTGTACAAATGTTTACGGGGAGCCCATAAGCAGGACAAAGGGGCAGCAGCATCTTCTCAGTCATGTTCCTCAACAACTGTCCTGGGAAGCATACTGCTTCTGATACTGGAAATAATATATAGCCATTGTAATTAATAGTTATTGATAGCTTTGTATCAAATGTCTTTTGAACTCATCTAAGCATTTCCATGCTTTTTGATCAGATCTAAAGCCTGCTGCTTGGTAGTTTGAAAAGTTACTGTCTAGAACAATTAACTCTCTTCTATGCCTTTCTAACATCCTCTTCAGGAATAGTTTAAAGAGAATGAACAGCAGTAAAAAGTACACATTTTAGATTTCTTTTTTTATAATGCATAGAAACCCCATTAACTTGTGCAATATGCTTAAAAGTTTTCTATTAGTTTTCTTTATCATATCTTATCTACTTTCATCCAACTTCTTGCATTAAATATAGCACCAACTTTAATCTTCTTTTTCCTTCATACATTGTTCATTTCCCAAAGCCTAGTATCTTGCTTGGACTTTGAAGGGTAGGATTGCTAGTCCCACTATACAGATTTGTCTTGAGTCTTTATTCTAAATTAACTTACTTTCTGACAATTTGCATCCTTAATAGCTACTAAGATGCAGATTCATAATAGATTGTATAATATAACCAAAAGATTATACGTACTTCTGAACTGTATGTTCAAACCTGTTCTTTGGATTTTTTTTTAATTTTCAGGAGGCATTACTATCTCTACCCTTTAAGAATCTAAAGAACTTCAACTTATCTACTATCCTAGATAATATTAAAAGCATTCCAATCCAACTTTCTATTCCATGTTGAGAAATAGAACAAATTCAGAAATCTTTAAGCAGAATGTGAGCATGACCACATCTTTCAGTTAATGATCCCAAAAAACTGATCTTGAGAGGAATACTATCTCTGATGCTATTATTAATATGAAACCCAAGGCTACCATAACTGAATTGCAACAATCCAGACAACTACTAGATATCAGAAAAAAGATAGCTTTAGCCTGCTTGCTGCCATCTAGTGGTTATCTAGATTTTTACAGCCCAGATATGAAAACCCTAATACAGTAGTCCTCAGGTTATGACCACTCATTCAGCGACCATTAAAAGTTATGACGGCACTGAACGAGGGGGACTTACAACCAGTCCTCTGAGTTCTGGCCATTGCATTATCTCCACGGTCACATGATCATGATCTGGGTGCTTGGTGGCCAGCTCATGATTACAACATCACAGTGAACCATGGTCACATCATTGACGTTTCCAGCATTCCCTGTTGGCTTCCCACAAAAAAAGTCAACTGGGGAAGCCAGCAGGTTGTAAGTTGCTCCTGCTCCCACCGTTATTTTGCCCATCCATGATCCTGTAGCACCTGCCTGCAGCACCACCACACACCTGTCTGCACTCCATAGCAGCTGCCTGGGGCACCCCCACAGCACCCACCCGTGCTCCATAACACCTGCCCACAGCACCCACAGCTTGCCTGTAGCTCTCACCTGCCAGTCTGCTTGCCTGGGACTCCTGCTTCTTTCCACTTAATGACCACATGATCCTGGGGTTACAACGGCAACCAGGACTGGTAGGATTGCTGTTGCTAACTGATGCGGTCATGTGAAGTTATGCTTTACGATCAGATTGCTTAGCGATAGAAATTCACTCTCAGTTAATCAAGAGTGAAATGTGTTACAAGAAATTACTGCTTAATTCAGTATCTCAAGTCTTCTAATCTTCTTTTAACATAATGTCAAGCAAATTCATTTAGGAAATTTCAATGAATAATTGAAGATACTATATATTAAGGTAGTTTGAAGACAAGCAGCATGAATAACAAGAAATAGAAAAAGCCCAGAGACAATGAATTAAATCAGTTCAAGCAAAGAAAAGGTATTATTCAAGAGTTTTTTAAACATGCATATCACTAAAAAATACTTAAAGCTATTCAACCATAATTTTTGATTATAAGATTATATGCATATTCAAATTTATCCAAAATGGCACAATATTTGAAGGATGCAGCACATCTATGTATGCATTTAAAATGCCCTTAATTCAAAACATTCTATAGCTCTAGCATACGTTGTCATTTTTTCCATTCCTTCTACACTAAATTGTTGCATTACCAGCTTGAATAAAACAGTAACATTTGAAAACATAGATTCCCATAACATAGCATAAAGCATGCAAAAGAATTAGAGCTCCAAAGATGGAAATTCAGGGATCTTGAACTGCCTTCCAGAAGAAATCAACATATCTGAGCGTTTTTTACAGTTTGTTATTCTGTTTTGGTAGCTCAAGTGAACAAACTATTGGAAAGCAGTTGCCAGGGAAAATTTTAAAAATTCAAAATACAGATGAATTTCAGTTTGCACAAACCACATTAATGTAGCTAGTAGCTATATTATCCCAGATGTATTGGTCTTAATTCTAACATTCATATAACTGAATTAAAGTGGTTATTCACTGCTTACACTGCTGGGAAAAAACCATTTAGAAAAGCATTTAAAATGTTTCTTTTAAAAAAGAAAATTGAAACATACTTTTCATGGTTCCATCTTCATCTTCTTCTTCATCATCATCATCACTGTTTATTACCATGGTCCCCAAGTCCGACTCTAGCATGGTGCTGTTATGTTCAATCATAGTCTGAGCACTATCACTCATTGTACTTGTGGCCCTCATTGTACCTGCATTCTCGGATGTAGTTTTCACCATGGTGTGGGAATCGAGCTCATCTTCATCCTGCAAACAAACATTGAAAAAAGAAATTACCTTCAAAGACACTCTGATCATGAGAACACTGTGACCTTCAACAACCAGGGCACTGCAAAGCATTCGAAGGGGTACTTTGCAAAGGACATCAGTGCAAGGAAAGCCCACCTTCTAAAAGCAGTAGAGCCATTCTTCAGAAGGGTCAGCACCAGATGTTCAAGGACTTTCCCAAGTGGTGTCCTTCTTTCCTCAAAACAGCAACACAAAGCTTGCTATGGGTCACAGCTCCCCCAATGCTTTGGGGAGGAATGTTCTGTTCATATGAAGATACTTTGCAAGTCATGTAATACAGTGGTACCTCGGGTCACGAACGCTTCTGTTCACGACC